TATCAAGGGAAGGTGTGGTCAGCACTAGACCTCAGCATATAAGAGGAAGGTATGGTCAGCACTAGACCTCGACATATGAAGGGAAGGTGTGGTCAGCACTAGACCTCGGCATATGAAGGGATGGTGTGGTCAGCACTAGACCTCGACATATGAAGGGAAGGTGTGGTCAGCACTAGACCTCGGCATATGAAGGGAAGGTGTGGTCAGCACTAGACCTCGGCATATAAAGGGAAGGTGTGGTCAGCACTAGACCTCGACATATGAAGGGAAGGTGTGGTCAGCACTAGACCTCGACATATGAAGGGAAGGTGTGGTCAGCACTAGACCTCGGCATATGAAGGGAAGGTGTGGTCAGCACTAGACCTCGGCATATAAAGGGAAGGTGTGGTCAGCACTAGACCTCGACATATGAAGGGAAGGTGTGGTCAGCACTAGACCTCGACATATGAAGGGAAGGTGTGGTCAGCACTAGACCTCGACATATGAAGGGGAGGTGTGGTCAGCACTAGACCTCGGCATATCAAGGGAAGGTGTGGTCACCACTAGACCTCGGTATATGAAGGGAAGGTGTGGTCAGCACTAGACCTCGGCATATGAAGGGAAGGTGTGGTCAGCACTAGACCTCGGCATATGAAGGGAAGGTGTGGTCAGCACTAGACATCAGCATATTAAAGGAAGGTGTGGTCAGCACTAGACCTCGACATATGAAGGGAAGGTGTGGTCAGCACTAGACCTCGACATATGAAGGGAAGGTGTGGTCAGCTCTAGACCTCGACATATCAAGGGAAGGTGTGGTCAGCACTAGACCTCGACATATGAAGGGAAGGTGTGGTCAGCACTAGACCTCGACATAGAGGAAGGTGTGGTCAGTACTAGACCTCAGCATATCAAGGGAAGGTGTGGTCAGCACTAGACCTCAGCATATTAGAGGAAGGTATGGTCAGCACTAGACCTCAGCATATCAAGGGAAGGTGTGGTCAGCACTAGACCTCAGCATATCAAGGGAAGGTGTGGTCAGCACTAGACCTCAGCATATTAGAGGAAGGTATGGTCAGCACTAGACCTCAGCATATGAAGGGAAGGTGTGGTCAGCACTAGACCTCGACATATTAGAGGAAGGTGTGGTCAGTACTAGACCTCAGCATATCAAGGGAAGGTGTGGTCAGCACTAGACCTCAGCATATGAAGGGAAGGTGTGGTCAGCACTAGACCTCGACATATTAGAGGAAGGTGTGGTCAGTACTAGACCTCAGCATATCAAGGGAAGGTGTGGTCAGCACTAGACCTCGGCATATGAAGGGAAGGTGTGGTCAGCACTAGACCTCGACATAGAGGAAGGTGTGGTCAGTACTAGACCTCAGCATATCAAGGGAAGGTGTGGTCAGCACTAGACCTCAGCATATTAGAGGAAGGTATGGTCAGCACTAGACCTCGGCATATCAAGGGAAGGTGTGGTCAGCACTAGACCTCGACATATGAAGGGAAGGTGTGGTCAGCACTAGACCTCGACATATGAAGGAAAGGTGTGGTCAGCACTAGACCTCGGCATATGAAGGGAAGGTGTGGTCAGCACTAGACCTCGGCATATGAAGGGAAGGTGTGGTCAGCACTAGACCTCAGCATATTAGAGGAAGGTATGGTCAGCACTAGACCTCGACATATGAAGGGAAGGTGTGGTCAGCACTAGACCTCGGCATATGACGGGAAGGTGTGGTCAGCACTAGACCTCGACATATTAGAGGAAGGTGTGGTCAGTACTAGACCTCAGCATATCAAGGGAAGGTGTGGTCAGCACTAGACCTCGGCATATGAAGGGAAGGTGTGGTCAGCACTAGACCTCGACATAGAGAAAGGTGTGGTCAGTACTAGACCTCAGCATATCAAGGGAAGGTGTGGTCAGCACTAGACCTCAGCATATTAGAGGAAGGTATGGTCAGCACTAGACCTCGGCATATCAAGGGAAGGTGTGGTCAGCACTAGACCTCGACATATGAAGGGAAGGTGTGGTCAGCACTAGACCTCGACATATGAAGGAAAGGTGTGGTCAGCACTAGACCTCGGCATATGAAGGGAAGGTGTGGTCAGCACTAGACCTCGACATATGAAGGGAAGGTGTGGTCAGCACTAGACCTCGGCATATGAAGGGAAGGTGTGGTCAGCACTAGACCTCGGCATATGAAGGGAAGGTGTGGTCAGCACTAGACCTCGACATATGAAGGGAAGGTGTGGTCAGCACTAGACCTCGACATAGAGGAAGGTGTGGTCAGTACTAGACCTCAGCATATCAAGGGAAGGTGTGGTCAGCACTAGACCTCGGCATATGAAGGGAAGGTGTGGTCAGCACTAGACCTCAGCATATTAAAGGAAGGTGTGGTCACCACTAGACCTCGGCATATCAAGGGAAGGTGTGGTCAACACTAGACCTCGGCATATGAAGGGAAGGTGTGGTCAGCACTAGACCTCGGCATATCAAGGGAAGGTGTGGTCAGCACTAGACCTCAGCATATTAAAGGAAGGTATGGTCAGTACTAGACCTCGGCATATGAAGGGAAGGTGTGGTCAGCACTAGACCTCGGCATATGAAGGGAAGGTGTGGTCAGTACTAGACCTCGGCATATGAAGGGAAGGTGTGGTCAGCACTAGACCTCGGCATATGAAGGGAAGGTGTGGTCAGCACTAGACCTCAGCATATTAAAGGAAGGTGTGGTCAGCACTAGACCTCGGCATATGAAGGGAAGGTGTGGTCAGCACTAGACCTCGGCATATGAAGGGAAGGTGTGGTCAGCACTAGACCTCGGCATATCAAGGGAAGGTGTGGTCAGCACTAGACCTCAGCATATTAAAGGAAGGTGTGGTCAGTACTAGACCTCGGCATATGAAGGGAAGGTGTGGTCAGCACTAGACCTCGACATATGAAGGGAAGGTGTGGTCAGCACTAGACCTCGACATATGAAGGGAAGGTGTGGTCAGCACTAGACCTCGACATATGAAGGGAAGGTGTGGTCAGCACTAGACCTCGACATATGAAGGGAAGGTGTGGTCAGCACTAGACCTCGACATATGAAGGGAAGGTGTGGTCAGCACTAGACCTCGACATCTGAAGGGAAGGTGTGGTCAGCACTAGACCTCAGCATATTAAAGGAAGGTGTGGTCAGCACTAGACCTCGACATATGAAGGGAAGGTGTGGTCAGCACTAGACCTCGACATATGAAGGGAAGGTGTGGTCAGCACTAGACCTCGACATATGAAGGGAAGGTGTGGTCAGCACTAGACCTCGACATATGAAGGGAAGGTGTGGTCAGCACTAGACCTCGACATATGAAGGGAAGGTGTGGTCAGCACTAGACCTCGGCATATCAAGGGAAGGTGTGGTCAGCACTAGACCTCAGCATATTAAAGGAAGGTGTGGTCACCACTAGACCTCGGCATATCAAGGGAAGGTGTGGTCAGCACTAGACCTCAGCATATTAAAGGAAGGTGTGGTCAGCAGTCAGCACTAGACCTCGACATATGAAGGGAAGGTGTGGTCAGCACTAGACCTCGACATATGAAGGGAAGGTGTGGTCAGCACTAGACCTCGGCATATGAAGGGAAGGTGTGGTCAGCACTAGACCTCAGCATATTAGAGGAAGGTGTGGTCAGCACTAGACCTCGGCATATGAAGGGAAGGTGTGGTCAGCACTAGACCTCGACATATGAAGGGAAGGTGTGGTCAGTACTAGACCTCAGCATATCAAGGGAAGGTGTGGTCAGCACTAGACCTCAGCATATTAAAGGAAGGTGTGTTCAGCACTAGACCTCAGCATATGAAGGGAAGGTGTGGTCAGCACTAGACCTCAGCATATGAAGGGAAGGTGTGGTCAGCACTAGACCTCGGCATATTAAAGGAAGGTGTGGTCAGCAGTCAGCACTAGACCTCGACATATGAAGGGAAGGTGTGGTCAGCACTAGACCTCGACATATGAAGGGAAGGTGTGGTCAGCACTAGACCTCGGCATATGAAGGGAAGGTGTGGTCAGCACTAGACCTCAGCATATTAGAGGAAGGTGTGGTCAGCACTAGACCTCGGCATATGAAGGGAAGGTGTGGTCAGCACTAGACCTCGACATATGAAGGGAAGGTGTGGTCAGCACTAGACCTCGACATATGAAGGGAAGGTGTGGTCAGCACTAGACCTCGACATATGAAGGGAAGGTGTGGTCAGCACTAGACCTCAGCATATTAAAGGAAGGTGTGGTCAGCACTAGACCTCGACATATGAAGGGAAGGTGTGGTCAGCACTAGACCTTAGCATATTAAAGGAAGGTGTGGTCAGCACTAGACCTCAGCATATTAAAGGAAGGTGTGGTCAGCACTAGACCTCGGCATATGAAGGGAAGGTGTGGTCAGCACTAGACCTCGGCATATGAAGGGAAGGTGTGGTCAGCACTAGACCTCGACATATGAAGGGAAGGTGTGGTCAGCACTAGACCTCGGCATATGAAGGGAAGGTGTGGTCAGCACTAGACCTCAGCATATTAAAGGAAGGTGTGGTCACCACTAGACCTCGGCATATGAAGGGAAGGTGTGGTCAGCACTAGACCTCGACATATGAAGGGAAGGTGTGGTCAGCACTAGACCTCGGCATATGAAGGGAAGGTGTGGTCAGCACTAGACCTCAGCATATTAAAGGAAGGTGTGGTCACCACTAGACCTCGGCATATGAAGGGAAGGTGTGGTCACCACTAAATGTATGTTTTAAATGACTTAAACCTGTGATGTCTTAAATTACCGTCTGCCCAGTTTCTTCCAGGCATTTCTTCGGAAGAAACACTACGTCTGTCTATATTAGTGTTAGTCCTAATCTACGGTGGGTGTGGCAGGGGTAGTTTGGTTGCTGATTACGGTCATTTTTTGGTAGGTGTGTCCTGTGGCGGGGGATGTTTTATTACTGCACCAGTCGACCTTCGACCTACTGAGGGAACTAGACTGGAGCTAGAAAAAGAACACATGTGCTATCGCGCGCCGTGAGCACAGGTAGATCACACACACGAGACTGTTGTGGACGGAGAGCACTAAAGATGGCGCTTGGTGTTTATTTACTTCTGGGGGTTCACCTAATACTAGCTGTAATTGCCGTCACCGTCAAAATTGACGAACCAGAGGAGAGAGGTCAGTTTAACACTTAAGTTAAGCTTAAAATCTAACTTGTCTAATTCTCTTAGTCCATGGTTTAGTAGTACTTCCGCCTTTCGCCATTTTGTTTGCCTGGAGTTAAGAAATTGAATAGTAGTGCAGCTCCATTGATAATAAAATATGTAGTTGATTCAGTTTATACGAATTCTGTCTGCAATCATCTACAATGTACTTTTGGTATTTGCATAAGTAGACCTTGTAATCATTGTTGACAGATAGTAAATTATATCAATACTGTCCCAAATTAAAGAACTAAAATAGACTTTAACAACTGTAAGACTTCCTAGAAGACATGTCAAAAATTGGATGCTGTAAAAAACTAAAAAAAAAACAACTAAACTTGGATTGGCCATCATTGTGCTATATTGTTAATTTTTTAATTTATTATACATAAGTAGAAGCTGATAATAGAATTTCTAACTTTTATAAATTCTAATTATTAGTACATTTGGCAATTGATCATTTAATTACCATGAAGTGAAAAACACAAAAATAACTCGGTCCCTCACAAAAAATATAATTTTTAACAACCTTTTAAATAATAATGCACCTAATAATGCACTAAAAAGGAGAAAATAAAGGATTTTCTTTAAATATAACATAAAACACTATTATTACTACTGTTGCTCATTTGGTGCGACATTCTTTTTTTTTTGTTCACTCGTGATTCTCTTCTAATCTATTAAACAAATCAAAATTGATTAAAAACATGATTAAACTGGTGCTACCATCCCCATTTATAAAATAAATCGAGAAAGTTTAGGGGAGATCACACCCGCTTTATTGATTAAGCATTTTGTTCAATAATTCTAATTTTTAATACAATAGTTGCATAACTAAAATGAACAGGGAAATACTCGTATAACAGTGCTTTAAATAGTACTTTTTATAAGAACTTTTAATTAATTCATAAAAAAATAATATAATAATAATTCAGCAAAAATGTACACGTACTTCCCTTTAACTATATGTCAAGTTTGAGGGTGCAAAAACTAGCGCTGTTAATTAAAACTAGTTAAATGGCCCGTTGAGGGAGAAATTCAACGGGAGCATGGTTGATAATTTGCCTTTTGTCTAAACCGAAACCAAAACCAAAAGGAGCACATAAACTTCAAATTGAACCGGAAGCAAAAAATGTTATTGAAAACCGAATTTTATCCATAATATGCATTTTAACCGGATCCGGAAATTTAAATTGATTTAAAACACCTAATAACCTCAACCTTAATCCTGCTACTAACTCTCGTTATAAATTTATAGAAGAAATATCTGAAAGAAACTCTGCATGTAGACCACTTTTAAGATTAGACTAATACATTAGGCGGTAATGTTAGTGTCTTTAATATGAAGTGTTTTATTTTGGGACTGGATTTTCAATTCTATGTTTACTCTAGAATCAATGACTTCATTTTATTGTGTGTACATTTCTGGCTTTAGAATTGTACATATTTCGTTCCGTTTTGAAAGTTTCCTATATGTTCCACGAGACGTTACGGTCTTTCACTATGCTTCTTTTAAATTTCTTAGTTTTTTTACAAGCTTTTATTTAACTCACTTCCTCGTCAGTCGTCAGTCTGTCTAGATCGAAACGGCCGAGCGAAATTGCAGGCACTTCTACCTGACAGATACAGTTCGTAATTGGAAAGTAGGTCAAGACATGAAGACAATGCACTGTGACATTAAATTTGACTTAATTGGATGCCTAATTAATTTTTTATGAATCAATTAAAATTTTGACCAAATCAGTAGGCATTACTATCCAATCACTCTACACGCGTCATCACCTTCAATAGCGCGCCATCTGGTTCAATAGGCGCGCAATGGTTTTTGTCATGAAACTCATCTATATATATGGTACGGTCAAAGCCCGAAGTGCGGCCAAAGCGCGGATTGGCCGGCCAATGCGCGGATTGGCCGGGATGTCCTGGCCAATGTTTTATCTAGACAAAGTTGTGATCGCGTTTTCATTATTCTGGGTGCGGTTTCATTGTGAGTAACGTATTGTTTAGGTCTTGTTTGTATGTAAGGCGTTATGGATTAAAAGGGCCTTCAGACCATGAGACAGACAGCAGATGGCTGTCAAAAGGAAAAATGTAAATCCATGTTAGTTTCCATATATGGGCTACAACTGTATGTGACAGCCTCCTCCGTGATGACGAGGTGAGACAATCATCAAGAAAGGTCTTGTTTCCAAACCCTTGATATTTAAAGAATTTAACTCAATATGCCCAGTAGATCTTATTGATATGCAAAGTAACCCAGACGGCAAATACAAGTTTATACTCAGTTACCAGGATCATTTAACCAAGTTCATATTGCTGCGAGCTTTGGAAACGAAAAGAGCAGAAGAAGTTGCTTACCAGCTGCTGTATATCTTCACGACTATTGGTGCCCCAAGTGTGCTTCAATCAGATAATGGAAGAGAATTTGTGAATGCAGTTATTTCTGAACTAAAGAACATGTGGCCTGAACTTAAACTAGTTCACGGAAAACCAAGGCATAGCCAAAGCCAAGGTTCAGTCGAACGTGCCAACCAAGATGTTCAAAACATGATGATGACATGGATGCAAACAAATGAATCAGCTCATTGGGCTGAGAGTCTCAAATTTATTCAATTTATGAAAAATCGTTCTTTTCATCAAGGAATCCAACAATTGCCATACGAAGCCTTGTTTGGATGCAAAGCAAAAGTGGGACTTAGCACTTCAAATCTACCAAGAGAGGCTCTCGATAAAATAGTTACTGATGAAGATTTTGAGAACATTGAATAAGAAATGGAGGTTGCTATAAATGCAACGACATCCTCAGCTAACACATCTGCTGCCTTGGCGGAACGTCCAGACCAGTTGCGTGACAATAATGTGGCCAACAGATTCTGTATAGTTTGTGAAAAACATTGTAGTGCAGCTCATTCTTGTGGATCCTGTGGCAACGATGTCCATGCTATTTGTGGAATACCCAATGAAGCAGACGAAGGGTACGGAGGAAACATTACCTGCAAATTGTGTCACAACAAAAAAGACATCATGGACAACAGGTCAGCAGCTCATACTGGCTTGCAAACTCAAGGTGCTAAGATGCTTAAAACATCAAATACAAAATTTAAAGATGGTGAAGTGGGTGACAATGTAGGCATCCGTGTTCCAGATGTTGACAGAGGTCGCGGTGATCCCCGAAGCATGATTGCAGTTGCCATGAGCGTCGATGGCGGTTTCTACAAATTAGGAACGGAACATGGTGTTCTAAAACAACTGTATGCTAGAAGTGAGTTTTCAATTCTTCACGAAAAACTGCTCTTATTGTCGTCAGTTGGCACTGAGGAAAAATCACTACGAACCATCGCATCTTCACAATCATTGACTGGGGGCCAAGGCTACACTCGCTGCAATTGCACAACTTAGTGCACAACAAATCGCTGCAAGTGTAAAAATAGCAAGCTGCTATGTAATTCTAAATGCCATAAAAGTTTAACTTGTTGCAACAAATGATAATATTGATTGATTGAGACTATAGTACAATTAAAAATGTGAATGTTTCTGTCATTTACTTTAATTAATGATCAATAAAGACTTAATTTCATGATCCTAACGGCATAAAAAACAAAATCTGCTCATGATCTTCTAATTCGGACTTTGGCCGATCGTCCCTAGCCAGATGATCTTCTAATTAAGACTTTGGCCGGTCCACCATGGCCAGTCCGCGGACTGGCCGGCCAAAGGCCGAAATCAAGAGCTATTTCAGACTTTGGCCGGTCCACCATGGCCAGTCTGTGGATTGGCCGGCCAAAGGCCGAAATCAAGCAAAGTTTCGGACTTTGGCCGACCTATGGGAGGCGATATTGGCCAATGCGCGCATTGGCCGGCCAATCCGTGCAAATAAGAAGGAGGAAGTGGCGCTGGGTGGGTCACACACTGCGAAAGGCTCACACAAATGTTACACGCCAAGCGCTTGAGTGGAACCCCCATGGAAAGCGGAAGAGAGGGCGCCCAAGACAGACCTGGAGGCGGAGTCTTCTTGAAGAACTGAAGCCAACAGGGATGTCTTGGGAGATGTCAAAATTAATAGCCGAGGATAGGAAGAAATGGAAGGAAATGGTGGAGGCCCTATGCTCCATAAGGAACAAAGAGGACTAAGTCAAGTCAAGTCAATCAGAAATTGAGATCGAGCATCTAATAATAGACAATTAGTAACGCTAACATATTGCATCAGTCACACTGATGTTTAAAACACGACAAATAATTCTTTTACGTGTTAAAGATAAATCCTTTTCATTTGTGTCACTTTAGCGATTCGTGACGTCATTATTGACGATCCCCATCCCCAAGCCTATACTGTGTAAAGAGCACCACAATCAAGTTAGATAAGTTACCTGTTAGAACCTAATGGTTTCTGTGACCTCGAACATTAAAGGTTAGTGTAATCTGCACTCTACCCAACCAACTTTCCCAAAAGTGAGCCAGGTATGCATCAAGCACGTCCTATGGATCCTAACTCGATACATTTAGTGTTTCTTCCAGACTTTTTTCTCAAGGGGGGGGCGGGGGGCACTTGATATTTTCGGCGGGGAGGGGGGGGGGGAAGGTTGTCGACATTTTTCGCGGGGGGGGGGGGGGGCTCCGAAGAGATGCCTGGAAGAAACTCTGGATACATTGAAATTTTCTATCGCAGTCCAGCCAGTTGATCTAGTTACCACTGAATGTATGCCAATTTTGTGTAACGTTTATGATCTAGTTACCACTGAATGTATGTCAATGTTATGTAACATGTATGATCTAGTTACCACTGAATGTATATCAATGTTGTGTAACGTTTAGAATTGTCAACATGAAAAGTGTGAATGGTATTTTTTCTTTAATTCCTATCATACAGTAGCTGAGTCGTAAACCGATCTTTGATTGGGTTCTGTTGTGCTTGAGAGTCAGAAAAATGGGTGGATGGTGTGTACCTGGACATTACTCTCAGATAAATGGGTGGATGGTGTATCCCTAGAAATTAGTGTAAGATAAATTGATCTAGCGATCCATTGGTCAGATGAAGTAGAGTTCACGTTTTTTTAACCTTGGCATAATAAGAAAGGCTTGGTCAGTACTATGCTCAGAGTTAGGTACCCATCAGTGCTGAGTGGACCCAGGGATGTTCTACTGACTTGAACTTAGATTCGAACTCGAGACTTTCGGGTTAACTCTACCGCTTAGTTCACACTGTCCGCAGATAAAGTGGGCCTGGGAAATATAATTTGTAGCAGTTTAACGTTCTTAGTTTCTGTAAGGTCAGAATATTTCGTCAGTTTAACGTTCTTAGTTTCTGTAAGGTCAGAATATTTCGTCAGTTTAACGTTCTTAGTTTCTGTAAGGTCAGAATATTTCGTCAGTTTAACGTTCTTAGTTTCTGTAAGGTCAGAATCTTTCGTCAGTTTAACGTTCTTAGTTTCTGTAAGGTCAGAATATTTCGTCAGTTTAACGTTCTTAGTTTCTGTAAGGTCAGAATATTTCGTCAGTTTAACGTTCTTAGTTTCTGTAAGGTCAGAATATTTCGTCAGTTTAACGTTCTTAGTTTCTGTAAGGTCAGAATCTTTCGTCAGTTTAACGTTCTTAGTTTCTGTAAGGTCAGAATATTTCGTCAGTTTAACGTTCTTAGTTTCTGTAAGGTTAGAATATTTCGTCAGTTTAACGTTCTTAGTTTCTGTAAGGTCAGAATATTTCGTCAGTTTAACGTTCTTAGTTTCTGTAAGGTCAGAATATTTCGTCAGTTTAACGTTCTTAGTTTCTGTAAGGTCAGAATATTTCGTCAGTTTAACGTTCTTAGTTTCTGTAAGGTCAGAATATTTCGTCAGTTTAACGTTCTTAGTTTCTGTAAGGTCAGAATATTTCGTCAGTTTAACGTTCTTAGTTTCTGTAAGGTCAGAATATTTCGTCAGTTTAACGTTCTTAGTTTCTGTAAGGTCAGAATATTTCGTCAGTTTAACGTTCTTAGTTTCTGTAAGGTCAGAATATTTCGTCAGTTTAACGTTCTTAGTTTCTGTAAGGTCAGAATATTTCGTCAGTTTAACGTTCTTAGTTTCTGTAAGGTTAGAATATTTCGTCAGTTTAACGTTCTTAGTTTCTGTAAGGTCAGAATATTTCGTCAGTTTAACGTTCTTAGTTTCTGTAAGGTCAGAATATTTCGTCAGTTTAACGTTCTTAGTTTCTGTAAGGTCAGAATATTTCGTCAGTTTAACGTTCTTAGTTTCTGTAAGGTCAGAATATTTCGTCAGTTTAACGTTCTTAGTTTCTGTAAGGTTAGAATATTTCATTAGTTTAACGTTCTTAGTTTCTGTAAGGTTAGAATATTTCTTCCTTCTTGAATCTGGACTTTGAAATTGTCTTTGAAGCAATTTTTGAAAAGGCGCCACTATCCTAAAAGTTGCCCTAGCGGGAACAGCTTCTGACCGTAATCTTCCATACACACTGTGGGTAAGCTTCTGACTCTACCCACTAGACGTAAGCTTCTGACTCTACCCACTAGACGTAAGCTTCTGAAACTAAACCAAAGGTAAATAGAATTACACAACTTTATATACAACTGTTAATTCTGTATATATAATCATATGTTTTCAAATACTATCTTTAAGACTAAATACTTTGGTTGACAGAAATAATTTGCCACGTAGGCCTACGTCATTATAATAAACTAGCGTACCCGTCCCCCGCGCGTTGCCGCGGGAATAGAAGAAAGTTCGACGAAATATATAAAGGTTTCATCCATACGTTACCAATCCTATATTCTTAGACTCGTGACCTTGTTTTCTAAAAGTGAGTTATTTAAATGTAAACATTGCCTGCGCTTGGATCATAAATATCCGGACACGGGTTTTCCTACACTACCGCATGAAAACCTTGAGTGTACATTAAAAGCTCACCGAAATAATGAGGTAGAACACACTTCGGTGACCACCCATGTGTAAGGGACGTAGAGTGGCGCTCTCAGGAGCCCCCCCCCCCCGATTACACTACCGCATAGGCGCCGCGTACTGCCCTTGGCTCCTTAAAACTAACAGGCGCCATCGTGCCAAATAGCATCCTGTTAACAATGATGCAGATTACGTCATTCGCTAAAGTGACACAACTGAAAAGGATTTTTTCTTTAACACGTAAAAAAATATTTGACGTGTTTTAAACATCAGTGTGACTGATGCAATATGTTACTAATGGTTTATTATATATATATATATATATATATATATATATATATATATATATATATAGATATAGATATATATATATAGATATATAGATATATATATATATATATATAGATATATATGGATGGATGGATGGATGGATGGATGGATGGATGGATGGATGGATGGATGGATGGATGGATGGATGGATGGATGGATGGATGGATGGATGGATGGACGGACGGACGGACGGACGGACGGACGGACGGACGGACGGACGGACGGACGGACGGACGGACGGACGGACGGACGGATGGATGGACGGACGGACGGATGGACGGACGGACGGACGGATGGACGGACGGACGGATCGATGGATAGAGGGAGGGAGGGAGGGAGGGAGGGCGGGCAGGCGGACAGACAGACAGACAGACAGACAGACAGACAAACAGACAGACAAAGAGACATATAGATGCTATTGTTGCATTTTGACCAATAGTCAAAAATGGACATTTGATATCATGAAAATGTCGTGAAATCTTGATTAGTTTAGTGAACCTGAATCAACCAAATGACACTTAACACATGTCATTGTTAATCAAACTAATCAACCAAATGACACTTAACACATGACATTGTTAATCAAATTAATCAACCAAATGACACTTAACACATGACATTGTTAATCAAATTAATCAACAAAATGACACTTAACACATGACATTGTTAATCTTCTAATTGCTGGTGCTTGGACGGCTACTGTTATTTAAAATACGGGATCCAGTATTTAAAATACGGGATCCAATATTTAAAATACGGGATCCAATATTTAAAATACGGGATCCAGTATTTAAAATACGGGATCCAATATTTAAAATACGGGATCCAATATTTAAAATACCGGATCCAATATTTAAAATACGGAATCCAATATTTAAAATACGGGATCCAATATTTAAAATACGGGATCCAATATTTAAAATACGGGATCCAATATTTAAAATACGGGATCCAATATTTAAAATACGGGATCCAATATTTAAAATACGGGATCCAATATTTAAAATACGGGATCCAATATTTAAAATACGGGATCCAATATTTAAAATACGGGATCCAATATTTAAAATACGGGATCCACTATTTATTGATTTTTAAAAACTTTCGTACAAACAGTATAAGCAAAAGGTTTGTTGGTCAAATAATCCCATCTTTAACTTTTCCCAGAATGCTACGCCACTACTGTTGGTCAAATAATCCCATATTTACCTTTTAACAGAATGCTACGGCACTACTGTTGGTCAAATAATCCCATATTTACCTTTTAACAGAATGCTACGGCACTACTGTTGGTCAAATAATCCCATCTTTACCTTTTCCCAGAATGCTACGGCACTACTGTTGGTCAAATAATCCCATATTTACCTTTTAACAGAATGCTACGCCACTACTGTTGGTCAAATAATCCCATATTTACCTTTTAACAGAATGCTACGGCACTACTGTTGGTCAAATAATCCCATATTTACCTTTTAACAGAATGCTACGGCACTACTGTTGGTCAAATAATCCCATCTTTACCTTTTCCCAGAATGCTACGGCACTACTGTTGGTCAAATAATCCCATATTTACCTTTTAACAGAATGCTACGGCACTACTGTTGGTCAAATAATCCCATCTTTACCTTTTCCCAGAATGCTACGGCACTACTGTTGGTCTTGGTTATTCTGGCACACTTGAGTTTCACTACCACCACCTGAAGAAACGATACGCCGGATGTACGCATATCCATGGCAACCTAGAGCTCACAAACTTGGTGGACCCAAAATTAAACTATGACCTAAGTTTTCTCAAGGTATGTAACTTTTCTAAATATCTATAGTTTTCAGGTAGTCTTGTAATATATGCTGGCAGGTAGCCTTTGCTATCGTTGTTGGTAGACAGCCATTGTTATATTTGTTGGTAGACAGCCATTGTTATATTTGTTGGTAGACAGACATTGTTATATTTGTTGGTGGACAGTCATTGTTATATTTGTTAGTAGACAGTCATTGTTATATTTGTTGGTGGACAGCCATTGTTATATTTGTTGGTAGACAGCGATTGTTATATTTGTTGGTAGACAGTCATTGTTATATTTGTTGGTAGACAGCCATTGTTATATTTGTTGGTAGACAGCCATTGTTATATTTGTTGGTAGACAGCCATTGTTATATTTGTTGGTGGACAGTCATTGTTATATTTGTTGGTGGACAGTCATTGTTATATTTGTTGGTGGACAGTCATTGTTATATTTGTTAGTAGACAGTCATTGTTATATTTGTTGGTAGACAGCCATTGTTATATTTGTTGGTAGACAGTCATTGTTATATTTGTTGGTAGACAGCCATTGTTATATTTGTTGGTAGACAGTCATTGTTATATTTGTTGGTAGACAGCCATTGTTATATTTGTTGGTAGACAGTCATTGTTATATTTGTTGGTAGACAGTCATTGTTATATTTGTTGGTAGACAGTCATTGTTATATTTGTTGGTAGACATGTTCCATTTACTCCCAATGGTTTTGATGTGTCTGTGGTTTGTGCTTCAATTAGTTTTGTAAATAGATTTGCCAGACCTAATACTTGCCTGATTTCAGTTGTCTATCGCTGCTTGCACCTATGACGTCAAGTCTAGCTTTATTGTCACCGCGTCTGTTTATCATCTCTCTCAACAATTTTTCAGTTTTCATGCCCTGCCCATTTCTACCATATAAAGATCCATTTTTTCGATGGTTAACGTTGTTTTCTAATTGTTTAATTATGTTGTAAGGAGTCTTAGAGTTTGTAGGGCTTGCATTTTCTCCTTTTACCCGCTAGAGTATCTTGTAATTGACTTTGTATTTTGTGCATGACATTTTTGTTTCTCGAATTTTAACTTTATATTCTTTATTTTATTTTAGTTTTAATGCATAGACATAAAAATGTCTCTATAATTTTTTTTTTCATTTTAAAACTTGTCATATCTTCTTTTGTTGTTCCATTCTTCATTTTTGTTTAAGTCTTAAGATATTTTTGGCAGACTTTATCATTGCAGACAGTTTTGGAAAACTTTATTATTTTGTAGAGTCAATTCTGTGTCACCTTTTAATTACTGAATCTGTTGGTTTTTTTTGTTTGTTTTTTTAACGAAATATAAACGCTCTTTTTTGGGTTTCTTTTCTTTTAAGCTTCTTTTGTAAAAAAAAAGACAGTATCTTATTTTCAGCAACAATATTTTTTTTAGGTTGAGTTTGATTTTTGCTAAAACAAGTTTTTTTTACTAACCAAAACCGATATTAGCTTCTCCCGTGTCACTTCATCTTGAAAATATTTTTTCTCTTACCCACGATGTCATCGTTTTGGTTTTCTGTATTTCCATGTGGTAATTTCTATATGTTTTTATCAATTTGTGTAGCATGCCACCTATTGCATGTTATTCTTGTCTGAAATCTTGTTTATTTTTAGAGCATTCGTTATGTGAGTGGCTATATTTTAATTGGTTTGGTCACCGAAGTGGAAATCATTCCATTTGACAGTCTGGAAGTCATTCGGGGTAATAACACATACAGCATTATGGGTAAGTATCTGTGTCGTTATTGACAGATTTTAAGTATGATTTGTTACAATTTGAAAGAGTTGTCTTTTTTTATATAGTCCTATTACGGTTACCCTAATGTACCCTAACCCTATTAGGGTTACCCTAATGTACCATAACCCTAGTAGGGTTACCCTAATGTACCATAACCCTAGTAGGGTTACCCTAATGTACCATAACACTATTAGGGTTACCCTAATGTACCCTAACCCTATTAAGGTTACCCTAATGTACCCTAACCCTAGTAGGGTTACCCTAATGTACCCTAACCCTAGTAGGGTTACCCTAATGTCTTAATGTACCCTAACCCTATTAGGGTACATGTCGAGCCTTGGGGCGATCTCCGAAGAAATACCAAAATGTAAATTTTTTAAAAATCTTAACAAGTGCCCAAGCAGATTTAGTGGCTTAAACAATTTAATTCATTTAAAAAAAAAAAAACCTATCTGTATTTTTTGGCTGACAGAAGTATTCTCCCGGTCTTCCGCCAAATTAACTTCATCTTCTCGAACTAGACGATAGGTCAAGCGTATTCTATTGAACATTTATAATAGTGATGGAACCTGATGGAAATAACAAATGTATCGTTAAAGCTATAGCCGAAACAAATTTCTTAATTGGCAACTCTAATAATGTCTAATTTTGCTTAGAATACACTACTTTCTGTAATGTTAAAAACTATGCATTAATTATCCGGCTGCATTATTATGTGTTTTTAAATTCGTATAGATCTTTACTTTTATTATCGACTTAATAAAATTATATATATATATATATATATATATATATATATATATATATATATATATATATATATATATATATATATATATATATATAATTATTTATGAACATAATATTCATAAAGTAAAAAACTCGACTTGATCTCCATAAGGTAATATTAAAGTGTTTTATTTTGTACCACAATCTAAATTGATGTATCTATAATAATAGTTTCGCTGTCTGTCTATGTATCTATCTATCTATCTGTCTATCTATCTATGTATCTGACAAGTACGCTATAGAGAAAACACAAGCAATTTAAAAACATGCATAGTTAAACGAAAACGAAATATGACGTCATATTGAGCAAAAGAAGAAAATAATATCAAGCCGGAGAGTGCACACAGTAATATGACGTCATTGATTCTCGAGTAAACATTGAATAAAATGGCAATTTTGTCTAATCTAAGTTATATTTGCGTGAAGAGTTTTTTTCATACAATTTTTCGGGTAGGGGCGAAGCGTAAGAACGTCTGAGCCCCCCCCCCCCTCCCCAACTCAAAAGAAATTTCTTCATCGATACTCTATAATAAAATTACCGCCTAATTAATGTGTCTAATCTAAAAAGTGGTTTTCTTGCAATTTATTTAATGCAATTCTTCTGGTAGTGGCTAAGCGCGACACCAGCGTTTCTTTCAGACTTTTTCCTCCCCGGAAGGGGGAACTTTTTCTAATCTAAAAAGTGTTTAGCGTGCAGTTTTTTTTCAAGCATCTCTTCCGGTAGGGACGAAGCCCCGCCCAGATTCTTCCTTTAGTTTGTATGATCTACAAATGCGACCAGTGTTTCTTTCAGACTTTTTCCTCCCCGGAGAGGGGTGGGGGTACATGAAATTTTCGGGGGCGGGGGTAGAATTTTCTGGGAGGGGGCGGACACTGGAAAAAGTATATAATTATATTTCGTTGAATGGGACGGTAGACATGTTTTGGAGTGGGGGGGGGGGGGCGAAGCCCCTCCTCCCAAGTAGAGTTGCCCGAAAGAAACTCTAAATGCGACTTTTGTCATGAATGAGATTAGGTGCATGGTTTAGGATATGCCTATGACTATATTTTGTATAAATTAAAGTACCGAGAAAATAGACAGCACTATCGACCTAGCGCCCGTTGTATCCTTCCTCAACGGGCCATTTTTCTCGTAAAGAAATAATATTGATGGGTTTTTTAAAAAATAATTTCATTTTCCAAACTTGACGTAACGTGCAAAGAACACAGTCAAACACATTGTATCACCCTTCACAAAAATTCTAATTATGTCTGAAACAAGGAATAAAAAATGTACAAATGACTTCCCTTAGTAACATTATACTTTCCTGGATAGATCACACACAAAAAATCATATCGCGGGAAAAAATACTTTTTATTAGTTTGTTTTGATGTTGGAAAAAAATATAATTATATAATTGGCATAGATTGATAACTGAGGTAGGCAAAACACGGATAATGCGTTTTATTTTTTTTTTACACTGAAGTATACTGTTTATTAATTATTATTTTTAATCAATAACAGTTTAAAAGCCGCTCCTAAATGTCCTCTATGTTGACTTCGATCTTTCGGTTTGCGGACGAGCTGGGGTATTATGGTCATTCACTAAATTGAACCACGCACGTCCGCCGGCGTCCTGGCAGGGTTCGATTTGGCGCCCTAGGCTATCTTGTTAGCGTTATGTTGCTTACTTTCGTTTTTAACAGTGCGTTAGATTAAGGATAAGAAAGTTTACAGTCCTTAAATAAATCGAATCCTTCGGCGCACCCACGGGGTGCTATTTGGCGCCCGGGTCTTTCCGTGAGTGCTATGGCAACCACCTTCGTTTTAAACAGCGCGATAGACTATGAATAAGATTAGGTATTAAAGTCAATTACTAAGTTAAATCAGGTGGTTCCGCCGGCGCCCTGGCAGGGTGCGATCTGGCGCCCTGTGCTATAGTGTGAGCACCATGCTTGCATTTAAGTTTGTGTTTATGTTCTACGTTATTGTTTGCGTTTAAGTTTGTGTTTATTTTTGCGTTTGTGTTTGCATTTGTGTTTGCGTTTGTGTTTGCGTTTGTTTTTGCGTTGTGTTTGTGTTTTCGTTTGCGTTAGTGTTTAGGTTTCTGTTTGTGTTTGCTCTTGTAATTGCGTGTATTTTTAACATTGGAGATTTGTTCGTTTTTGTGATTCATTAAACAGTGATTTTCGTGACGAATTAATAAAGTGAAAGCAGTTGGAGGACTTTAATTGATACACCAGCTTCAAAATTCGTGTGCCACAGTCTCGCACCTCAATTCTTAGACGTGGGCACATACACACAAATACACACACTCACACACACAAATACACACGCACACAAGCACACGCACGCACGTACACATACATACGCACACACACGCGTACGGACACACGCACACACACACACGCGTACGGACACACGCACATACACACGCACACACACATACACACGCACACATATGCACACGCACGCACACACACACACGCATACACGCATACAAAAGCCATGTAATTTTTTTGACGCTTCCACCAGGCGACGAGTACAGTCTGGTTGTGGTGCTGTCATCAAGAAACGATGAAAAATCGACGGGACTCAAGGAGCTGCATCTACCGCAACTTAAGGGTTAGTTTAGGCTGTCATTAGGGTTGGGCTTAGGATTGGGTTTAGGGTTGGGCTTAGGATTGGGTTTAGGGTTGGGCTTAGGGTTGGGCTTAGGGTTGGGCTTAGGGTTGGGCTTAGGGCTGGGCTTAGGGTTAGTTTAGGCTGTCATTAGGGTTGGGCTTAGGGCTGGGTTTAGGGTTAGTTTAGGCTGTCATTAGGGTTGGGCTTAGGGTTGGGCTTAGGGCTGGGTTTAGGGTTAGTTTAGGCTGTCATTAGGGTTGGGCTTAGGGCTGGGTTTAGGGCTGGGTTTAGGGTTGGGCTTAGGGCTGGGTTTAGGGTTGGGCTTAGGGCTGGGTTTAGGGTTAGTTTAGGCTGTCATTAGGGTTGGGCTTAGGGCTGGGTTTAGGGCTGGGTTTAGGGTTGGGCTTAGGGCTGGGTTTAGGGTTGGGCTTAGGGCTGGGTTTAGGGCTGGGTTTAGGGTTGGGCTTAGGGCTGGGTTTAGGGTTGGGCTTAGGGCTGGGTTTAGGGTTGGGCTTAGGGCTGGGTTTAGGGTTAGTTTAGGCTGTCATTAGGGTTGGGCTTAGGGTTGGGCTTAGGGCTGGGTTTAGGGTTGCACTTAAGGCTGGGTTTAGGGTTAGTTTAGGCTGTCATTATGGTTGGGCTTAGGGTTGGGCTTAGGGCTGGGTTTAGGGTTAGTTTAGGCTGTCATTAGGGTTGGGCTTAGGGTTAGTTTAGGCTGTCATTAGGGTTGGGCTTAGGGCTGGGTTTAGGGTTAGTTTAGGCTGTCATTAGGGTTGGGCTTAGGGCTGGGTTTAGGGTTAGTTTAGGCTGTCATTAGGGTTGGGCTTAGGGTTGGGCTTAGGGCTGGGTTTAGGGTTAGTTTAGGCTGTCATTAGGGTTGGGCTTAGGGTTGGGCTTAGGGCTGGGTTTAGGGTTAGTTTAGGCTGTCATTAGGGTTGGGCTTAGGGCTGGGTTTAGGGCTGGGTTTAGGGTTGCACTTAAGGCTGGGTTTAGGGTTAGTTTAGGCTGTCATTAGGGTTGGGCTTAGGGCTGGGTTTAGGGCTGGGTTTAGGGTTGCACTTAAGGCTGGGTTTAGGGTTAGTTTAGGCTGTCATTATGGTTGGGCTTAGGGTTGGGCTTAGGGCTGGGTTTAGGGTTAGTTTAGGCTGTCATTAGGGTTGGGCTTAGGGTTGGGCTTAGGGCTGGGTTTAGGGTTAGTTTAGGCTGTCATTAGGGTTGGGCTTAGGGTTAGTTTAGGCTGTCATTAGGGTTGGGCTTAGGGCTGGGTTTAGGGTTAGTTTAGGCTGTCATTAGGGTTGGGCTTAGGGCTGGGTTTAGGGTTAGTTTAGGCTGTCATTAGGGTTGGGCTTAGGGTTGGGCTTAGGGCTGGGCTTAGGGCTGGGTTTAGGGTTAGTTTAGGCTGTCATTAGGGTTGGGCTTAGGGTTGGGCTTAGGGCTGGGTTTAGGGTTAGTTTAGGCTGTCATTAGGGTTGGGCTTAGGGCTGGGTTTAGGGCTGGGTTTAGGGTTGGGCTTAGGGCTGGGTTTAGGGTTGGGCTTAGGGCTGGGTTTAGGGTTGGGCTTAGGGCTGGGTTTAGGGTTAGTTTAGGCTGTCATTAGGGTTGGGCTTAGGGTTGGGCTTAGGGCTGGGTTTAGGGTTGGACTTAAGGCTGGGTTTAGGGTTAGTTTAGGCTGTCATTAGGGTTGGGCTTAGGGTTGGGCTTAGGGTTGGGCTTAGGGTTGGGCTTAGGGCTGGGTTTAGGGTTGGGCTTAGGGCTGGGTTTAGGGTTAGTTTAGGCTGTCATTAGGGTTGGGCTTAGGGTTGGGCTTAGGGCTGGGTTTAGGGTTAGTTTAGGCTGTCATTAGGGTTGCGCTTAGGGCTGGGTTTAGGGTTAGTTTAGGCTGTCATTAGGGTTTTGCTTAGGGCTGGGTTTAAGGTTAGTTTAGGCTGTCATTAGGGTTGGGCTTAGGGCTGGGTTTAGGGTTAGTTTAGGCTGTCATTAGGGTTGGGCTTAGGGCTGGGTTTAGGGTTAGTTTAGGCTGTCATTAGGTTTGGGCTTAGGGCTGGGTTTAGGGTTGGGCTTAGGGCTGGGTTTAGGGTTAGTTTAGGCTGTCATTAGATTTGGGCTTAGGGCTGGGTTTAGGGTTGGGTTTAGGGCTGTGATTAGGGCTGTGTGATTAGGGCTGTGTGATTAGGGCTGTGTGATTAAGGTTGGGTTATGGTTGGGTTTAAGCTACACATTGTTTATTCAGCCAAACTTTATTTGTCACCCTTGTTTTTTTTTTACAACCACCATTTTTAATCTCCACTTCACCCTCATTAGGATATATCACCAGTAGCGTAGCGAGGGGGGGGGGGGACATATGTCCCCGGGCGCTGACCATAGGGGGCGCCAAAATGGGTTGGAAAAATAAATTGAAAGGTTGAGGGGGGTGCAAATCGAAATCTCGAGGGGGGGGGGGGTGCAAATCGAAAGTTTGAGGGGGGTGCAAATCAAAATCTTGACGGGGGGGGGGGGTGCAAATCGAAAAGTTTGTCCCCGGGCGCCGGGAAGGGTCGCTACGCCTCTGTATATCACATTCCCTAAATCAGCATTGTGTCTCTTGATCTTAATCAGCTTGTGTCACGTGACATTTAATATATGTACATTCGTCAGGAATGTTAATCTTAAATTCTTGTCTGTATCAAAGAATCTCAGCAGACGTAATTTCAAACTAGTTTGAAAATTTCAGAAATTTCCATGGGTAAAGTTTTGTTCACACGCAATCCGTTCCTTGGTTTCATCAACACGATTGACTGGGAACCCATTTTACGCGGACGTTGGGAGAACGTACACTTCTTGGAGAGCGCTTACGATGAAACAGGTTTGTAAGGCCCACCATAAAATAGTCACAGTAAACAACACAGTAGAATTGAAATATAAGCCCACATACTTTTTCTCCTGAACATGTTCATTTTATAGTGTTCAGTTTGTTCAGTTTAATTTTTTATATATTTGTTACATATAATTCTACTGTTGTATTCAATTTGTTGCCTTAATTTTTTTTGGTTACATTTGTTACATTTAATTTTGTTATTGTCTTGGCTTTGTTATATTTAATTTTGTTATTGTCTTGGCTTTGTTACATTTAATTGTGTTATTGTCTTGGCTTTGTTACATTTAATTGTGTTATTGTCTTGGCTTTGTTACATTTAATTTTGTTATTGTCTTGGTTATGTTACATTTAATTGTGTTATTGTCTTGGCTTTGTTACATTTTGTTATTGCCTTGGTTTTGTTACATTTAATTGTGTTACTGTCTTGGTTTTGTTACATTTTGTTATTGTCTTGGCTTTGTTACGTTTAATTGTGTTATTGTCTTGGCTTTGTTACATTTAATTGTGTTATTGTCTTGGCTTTGTTACATTTAATTGTGTTATTGTCTTGGCTTTGTTACATTTAATTTTGTTATTGTCTTGGTTTTGTTACATTTTGTTATTGTCTTGGTTTTGTGACATTTAATTGTGTTATTGTCTTGGTTTTGTTACATTTAATTGTGTTATTGTCTTGGTTTTGTTACATTTAATTGTGTTATTGTCTTGGCTTTGTTACATTTAATTGTGTTATTGTCTTGGCTTTGTTACATTTTGCTACTGCCTTGGTTTTGTTACATTTAATTGTGTTATTGTCTTGGTTTTGTTACATTTTGTTATTGTCTTGGCTTTGTTACATTTAATTGTGTTATTGTCTTGGCTTTGTTACATTTAATTGTGTTATTGTCTTGGCTTTGTTACATTTAATTGTGTTATTGTCTTGGCTTTGTTACATTTTGTTATTGTCTTGGCTTTGTTACATTTTGTTATTGTCTTGGTTTTGTGACATTTTGTTATTGTCTTGGCTTTGTTACATTTTGTTATTGTATTGGTTTTGTTACATTTTGTTATTGTCTTGGTTTTGTGACATTTAATTTTTGTTTTGTTTTTGTCCAGCGGCTGACAACAATGACACGTCAATTTGTGACAAGGGCACAAGATGGGGAAATGACAAGTCACTTTGTCAAAAAGGTTAGAAACTTGATGGAGAACTTGTCAAATGAATAGAGAACTTGTCAGATGCTAGACGTTGTAAAAACTGCCCTCTTTGTACTCAGTAGTGTCGAGGTCCTGCCATGAGAGCTGCGACGGTCGATGTTTTGGTCCCTCTGATGCTGACTGCTGTCATGCTACGTGTGCTGTTGGCTGTGATGGGGCCCAAGATCAAGACTGCATTGTACGTGGCGTTTTTTTAATTGCTAAACAATGAACATTGGGTATTACTAGTGTATTCTGATGTTTTATTTGAAGCTAGAGGCATATGACATCGTCGTGAATTAGATAGAGGAGTATTTTTGGATGATGTAATTAATTTCGTTTTTAATTTTATACACAAAACATGTACGAAAAAATGTATTTATTGCTGACTAACGAAAAAATGGCCTAGCTTTTGGAAGCATAGTTCTGTTTGATGTCTGTGTTTGATGTCTGTGTCTGTGTTTGATGTCTGTGTTTGATGTCTGTGTTTGATGTCTGTGTTTTACCCACAGATGTGCAAGGATTACCTGTACGAGAGTCGCTGTGTTGGATTCTGCCCAGCCAAATCTTATCCCAAGCTTCAGTATTGTGTCCGATATTGACCCGAGCTCTGAGTGCAGAAATGTCACGGGGAGAGAACTCAGTAATCCAGAGTTATCCTACTTGTAGCACAAGATGCATGCATGAAAACCATTTCGTGATTGTGTAATATTTCAAGTTTTATATAAATTCTGATCAAGCTATTGATAACATTATTATGTATAAATAAGTTTCAATTCACTCTAGCCCAACCTTATATCACGATTTCTGAACCGTATTGTCCCAACTAGCCGATTAACAGACGCCCATTCAACGGAGACAATTTACTTTCAAAATTTAAAAATGTGGTGACAATGTACTTTCAAAATTTAAAAATGTGGTGACAATGTACTTTCAAAATTTAAAAATGTGGTGACAATTTACTTTCAAAATTAAAAAATGTGGTGACAATTTACTTTCAAAATTTAAAAATGTGGTGACAATTTACTTTCAAAATTTAAAAATGTGGTGACAATTTACTTTCAAAATTAAAAAATGTGGTGACAATTTACTTTCAAAATTTAAAAATGTGGTGACAATTTACTTTCAAAATTTAAAAATGTGGTGACAATTTACTTTTAAAATTTAAAAAATGTGGCGACAATTGACTTTAAAAATTAAAAAAAATGTAATGATATTTGTATACGCTTAAGAATATTAGGGTTAGTTTTAACTATCTATAAATAATACTCCACTAGACAAATAGATATTTTACTTTCCCACTTTAAAAGTATGTTTTGCTAACTTGCAAATGGGTTCTGAACCATTCCCCTGGTTTATCAACAAAGCTCGGACACAAACGAACACTCACACACACACACACACTAACGTATATAGTTGAATTTAACGGCCTGCATGGGAAAGTGAATGAAGCGTGGCGAAAAAAAAAAGCAAAGACCAGCCAAGAGAAAATTAAACGAGAGCAACCAAACATTATAAGGTAACATTTAGGTTCAATTATGGTAGGCGAAGTTTAGCTTCTGTTACGTTTAGGGATAAAGTTTATCGTTAAGTTTAGGGATAAAGTTTAGCGTTACGATTGTACCGAGTAAGTGAATTAAAATTACCGAAAAAGCTTAGCATTAACAGCGAGTCCTCCGGCCGTCTCCTCCACCCTACACTGGCTCACTGGGCTTACACCTCCACCCTACACCTCCACCCTACACCTCCACCCTACACCTCCACCCTACACCTCCACCCTACACCTCCACCCTACACCTCCACCCTACACCTCCACCCTACACCTCCACCCTACACCTCCACCCTACACCTCCACCCTACACCTCCACCCTACACCTCCACCCTACACTGGGCCTACACCTCCACCCTACACCTCCACCCTACACCTCCACCCTACACTGGGCCTACACCTCCACCCTACACCTCCACCCTACGCTGGGCCTACACCTCCACCCTACACCTCCACCCTACACCTCCACCCTACACCTCCACCCTACACCTCCACCCTACACCTCCACCCTACACCTCCAACCTACACTGGGCCTACACCTCCACTCTACACCTCCACCCTACACCTCCACCCTACACCTCCACCCTACACCTCCACCCTACACCTCCACCCTACACCTCCACCCTACACCTCCACCCTACACTGGGCCTACACCTCCACCTACACTGGGCCTACACCTCCACCCTACACCTCCACCCTACACCTCCACCCTACACTGGGCCTACACCTCCACCCTACACCTCCACCCTACACCTCCACCCTACACTGGGCCTACACCTCCACCCTACACCTCCACCCTACACCTCCACCCTACACTGGGCCTACACCTCCACCCTACACCTCCACCCTACACTTCCACCCTACACTGGGCCTACACCTCCACCCTACACTGGGCCTACACCTCCACCCTACACCTCCACCCTACACCTCCACCCTACACCTCCACCCTACACCTCCACCCTACACTGGCTCACTGGGCCTACACCTCCACCCTACACCTCCACCCTACACCTCCACCCTACACCTCCACCCTACACCTCCACCCTACACCTCCACCCTACACCTCCACCCTACACCTCCACCCTACACCTCCACCCTACACTGGGCCTACACCTCCACCCTACACCTCCACCCTACACCTCCACCCTACACCTCCACCCTACACTGGGCCTACACCTCCACCCTACACCTCCACCCTACGCTGGGCCTACACCTCCACCCTACACCTCCACCCTACACCTCCACCCTACACTGGCTCACTGGGCCTACACCTCCACCCTACACCTCCACCCTACACCTCCACCCTACACCTCCACCCTACACCTCCACCCTACACCTCCACCCTACACCTCCACCCTACACTGGGCCTACACCACCACCCTACACCACCACCCTACACCTCCACCCTACACCACCACCCTACACTGGGCCTACACCTCCACCACCACCCTACACCTCCACCCTACACCACCACCCTACACCTCCACCCTACACCACCACCCTACACTGGGCCTACACCTCTACCACCACCCTACACCTCCACCCTACACCTCCACCCTACACCACCACCCTACACTGGGCCTACACCTCCACCACCACCCTACACCTCCACCCTACACCACCACCCTACACCTCCACCCTACACCACCACCCTACACTGGGCCTACACCTCTACCACCACCCTACACCTCCACCCTACACCTCCACCCTACACCACCACCCTACACTGGGCCTACACCTCCACCACCACCCTACACCTCCACCCTACACCACCACCCTACACCTCCACCCTACACCTCCACCCTACACCACCACCCTACACTGGGCCTACACCTCCACCACCACCCTACACCTCCACCCTACACCACCACCCTACACCTCCACCCTACACCACCACCCTACACCTCCACCCTACACCTCTACCCTACACCTCTACCCTACACCTCCACCCTACACCACCACCCTACACCTCCACCCTACACCTCTACCCTACACTGGGCCTACACCTCTACCCTACACCTCTACCCTACACCTCCACCCTACACCACCACCCTACACCTCCACCCTACACCACCACCCTACACCTCCACCCTACACCACCACCCTACACCACCACCCTACACCTCCACCTCCACCCTACACCACCACCCTACACCTCCACCCTACACCACCACCCTACACCACCACCCTACACCTCCACCCTACACCTCCACCCTACACCTCCACCCTACACCACCACCCTACACCTCCACCCTACACCACCACCCTACACTGGGCCTACACCTCCACCACCACCCTACACCTCCACCCTACACCACCACCCTACACTGGGCCTACACCACCACCCTACACCTCCACCCTACACCACCACCCTACACCACCACCCTACACCACCACCCTACACCTCCACCCTACACCACCACCCTACACCTCTACCCTACACCTCCACCCTACACCACCACCCTACACTGGGCCTACACCTCCAACCTACACCACCACCCTACACCACCACCCTACACCACCACCCTACACCTCCACCCTACGCTGGGCCTACACCTCTACCCTACACTGGGCCTACACCTCCACCCTACACCTCCACCCTACACCTCCACCCCACACCTCCACCCTACACCTCCACCCTACACCTCCACCCTACACCTCCACCCTACACCTCCACCCCACACCTCCACCCCATACCTCCACCCTACACCTCCACCCTACACCACCACGATCGTGAATTATATGAGTCGGGTGTGTGTCTTCACGTCCACGGAAGCCCTGAGACTGAGTTACCGAACCTCTTGGGTTCGATGGAACCCACTGTTCTAAGCATTTTATCGCTGCTGATTCTAATCAGAACGTCATGAGCGGTGCCACTATCATTAAACCGGTTATTACAGCTTCTTCAAACAGTACAATTAGTTCTGCATTTGTTGTAGACTGTTTGCGAGAAGGTTGTAGACTGTTTGCGAGAAGGCAGCACACATCTGATAAATCCAAGACTTCGAGCTGCTGTGTCCGTTGGATTACAGTTTTTTCCCCTAGCTTGTTTCATTATACAATCAATGAAATACCCATATCGTATTCTAATTTGTACAATAATTTGCTATTTTATGTCAATAGCATGACCTCAATTTAACAAACGTATAATCCAACTATGTACCATATCAAAACAGAGACTGTTCCGAAGTTAAAACATAAAAAGACAGTCCAAAACGAATTAGCACCTGCTACAAACTTCCCTTTAAATTCAGATATTTTTTTCTGACATTACTAATCTTTTTTTGAAAGGATAATGCAACTTTAAAAAAAACCCACACACTTATATATATTTATATATGAGGGGGGGGGGGGGAGGGCTCGAAATTTGAAGTTCGCCCCGGGCGAAGGGATGGGTCGCTACGCCTCTGGTTACACTGGGCCTACACCTCAATCAGCGTCATCTATAAGCTCAAATCGGCTAGTTTGCAAGGTAAAACCACTTTATTTAAACCAGTTGATTTCTTTGCATTATCCTATGTTATATTATTAAATAATATTGCCAGTGGATTTCTTTGCATTATTATTATATTATGTTATATTATTAAACAATATTTGTCTTGTATCAATACATTTTTCTTATTTAAAAAGATTTTTAAAAACCCAACTGGGACGATATTTTGTATGACATCTGTGATAATATTTTGTTTAGAATTCAATTAATTTCAATGTAGAAAATTGTTTTGAGATACGAGTGATTTAAACTCGTATCTCAAAGTACCATTATATTATCCATATATACAGTGGCGTTGGCATGGGATTATTGCCATAATACCACTGTAACTTATTGAAATCTATTTCTGAATCAGTATATATGTTGAATTGTATATGTATGTTTAGAACCGTCATCTAAAAACTGACGCTATGTTCACTCTTAGCTGGTTATCCCCCTAACCCCCCCCCCCCTCACCACCAGAACGGGACAGGCCATAATTGTGTAGAGCGATATAAATGTCACACCCATTTATACGATGGGTAAGATAGTAGACCTAAAGTGACCGGACAGTGGTAAATAGTTGTTTATATAAATATATATATATATATATATAT